GGGACCAGTTCACTTGATACACAACTGCATGACTAATAATATAAATTCAAAATTTAGCCCTGAAAACATTTATAAATTGTTGAACGAGAAAACTTAGCAAAGTTAACTCCGTTCACCATATATTTTTGGAAGAAGCTCCAAATTGCTTATATCCAATCAGATGCCGAACTGCAGAAGAACTAATGAAAACCAGAGTTAAACCATAAGACGGAACGGCTCGTTGACACAAAGACACCTTCGTGGGAGACCAAAGGATGCGATGAATTGCGGATTTATGTCCCATGAAAACACTAGATCTCCTTAGTAAAAGGAAGGTTAAAATAGCAAAGCTCATGAAAACATTGGATGACTTCGGAGAAGCTCGGGATGATTTAAAAGTCGCCGCAATTGCAGACGTTTCACCGATTTCCACGGTATCGCTCGAGTGTCGCACGCGGCCTCTTCTGTGAGTGATAATTTCGCGCGACGGTTTTGGACGAACACTCCTCCTTATGCAGAACGCGGGAAAACTGGTTTAACTCAAAGTTTTCTTTTTTCTACATTTCGTATCTTCTTTTTGTGGTGGTGTTTTTGCAAAGTAGTAATTATTTAGAGTGTTTGTGTGTTTTTGATGTTTATTGCAGATTCGCATGCAAAAGATAATTCATTGGTAGTCGTTGGAAGCACTTAGTGATTCTAATTATTAATGACTGTTTCCGTCCATCAATCAATTCGAACTAATTTTTGCTTCAGAATTTGGACTGGAAGCTATACATCTCATTTTATTACAACTTACTAAAAGTAGAGGAGTCCTGCCTCGTGTTTAAAATCACGCTTCAGACTTTGCTCTTATCAGGCAATTCCGCTTCGGACCACTTCATTACAACAAGTGATTTTGAGACTTTTTTTTTTGAAATTCATCAGTATCAATCATAAACTGTTTCTGTTGCAAACGTTAAAGTTGCTTCGCATTTTTAGAAACTTTAAAAAATTTTTTATACTTTTAGTTTGAGTGACTGAAGTCTATAAATTTGCTTTTTTTTCAAGACATAT